TATGCTCTTACTGCAGTAGCAGATACTTTTGGTGGGAAGGCATTCGGTTGCCACAACATGAACACCTTATGGTGCTCTAAATCTCAGTCCTTTAAATTTTACCTCAAAATTCTGGCAATTTATAGCTTATTTTATTCCCAACCTATGCTTTCATGGATGCTATATCATCCAAAGGCTTTCAGAAATGGGAGAGTGGTTTGCACCCTACACTGCTGTCCTGTTTATTTTCTGTTAAGCCCCAAGCTGGCCAAGCAGCTTATTTATTTCAGGCATGGAGTCTAGAAACTATAGGCCGTAGGATGAGCGTCCAAAAGATGCTTAGAAAACGGATTCCGTTGCACCCCTCGTGTAACTACGTAATTTTCACATGAATAAATAGAAAAAAACTTACTTTATCAGAATCCGTTGCTCCCCAAGCGAAACAGGTGCACAATTGGGAGAAAAATCCCTCCAAAGTTTGATACTTTCGCGCTTCGAAATATTCGAACCGCCATTGTTTTGATAGCAAATACGCATGCGCAACTCAGCCAAACTCGCACTGCGCACGCGCACAACCAACGCACATGCTTCGAAGTGGAAACACGCTCAGTTATGCAAATAAACATGGCTGAAGATATTTATAAAACTCGAATATCCTCATGTTTTATGCATTTTGATGGCGTTACGGAGCAACTTTGCAAAGTTACACGCCAAAGGCTTAAGAAATTTCTTGAGTGTAGGTCAAAATGGGCCAAACTTAAATGCCAGAACAAGCTGAAATAGCTAAGAAATCGTACGAGAACATCGATGACGGATCTGTCAATTCATACATGGAGAAGAACCCTGATACCATTAACTTAGAATGGAACCACCGAACCATCATCAGGTTTATCATCATCATTATCATCATCAGGTTTGGTTTTAAAATATATTGAATTGTGATCAATTAAGTTTACTTAGGGTAAAGTAGTTTCTATGCTACAAACATCCAACCTTGTTATTATTTTGTTTCACACCAGGCAACTAAGAAGAGAAGAAGAACCCCACTCATGTTGGCAGAAACAATTGATGCTGGTCTTCTACGTACAGCTGCCGAGAGAAAGAATGATCAACGGATACTCATGCAAATCCAGGGGAAAGACTGTGTAGCTCTGGAAATCCGCTATCACAAAGTTTGCTACTGCAATTTATATACAATATTTCTCACCAGAGAGACGAAGAAGCAATGAGAGCATCAGTGTACAAGAAGTCTTATGATGTATTCTGTAAAAAAGTAATTGAGATGGAGGTCATCGGAAATAAGCAAATAAATTATATGAAAGATTTGCTGGAGAAATTTGTTATCATTGCTAAGGACACTGAGAATGTGGATGCATCTAAATATAGAGCTTTTAAACTCAAGCAATGAATGATGAAAAGTTATCCCCAACTTGTGTTCTGTGTACCGAAAATGAGAAATGTTAGTGAGATTGTATATGTGGAAAATTTGGATTCTTCTGAATTGGTTGAGGAACATATGTCAATTAAGGGCCTAGGCCTGTTTATATGGAAGTCGGGCTGGCCTGCTTAGCGAGACAGCCCGGTAAGCGGGATGAATTTCTCTTGTGTTTATATGAGAAACTTTCATCCCGCTTGCCGGGACGATTTTGTTACATTGTATTGTTTTGACAGTTGTTAAAATTAAAATGGGGCAGTATCTTTGAACTTTCATCCCGGCAACCGGGATTTTCATCCCGGCAACCGGGATAGCCCGCTTGTAAATGTTTATATGGAGAAATTTCCATCCCGGTAAGCGAGATCTAGCCTCTTTCAAACGAGATCTCGGCAACCGGGCCGGCCCGCTTGTCCATATAAACACACGATAATTTTTACTATAAAAATAACTACACAGCAAGATCTTGCTTACCAGGCTGTCTCGCTTATCAGGCCGGCTTCCATATAAACAGGCCCTAAGTCTGAAAACAATAATGAAGAGAGCTGTACCATTGATTATGATGATGAGAATTCCAACACAGAAACTGAGGGAAATTCTAAAGTCAATAAGTTACAAATTCTATACAATGTTGCATTGTAAGGGATAATATTTCAAATTTGACTATGAGGTCAGGACTAGACTTACTAGATTTCATGTCCACACAATTTGATTACGTCCGAGGCGAAGCAGAGGACTGGATCAAAATGTGAGGACTTGAAATCTAGTCCAGTCCGAATTGGAGGATTTGAAATGGCATCCATACGAATAAATCACTACTTAATTAATTTTGATCCAGTTCAAGGACTGAATTAATTTTAATCCAGTCCTAGGACACTACAGGATCAATATACTTCATAAGGGATCTAGTATTACATGTGAGCAAAATAAAGCAATATGGTTGGCTAATTTGCTCATGAATTATTAATGATTTGAGGTGAACAATGGTGGTAATGCACATAGATATTATCAGTGGAGTAGATCAGTATTTATTTACTTAGTCGATATTCTCAATCGGATCCACAGTATTTATATTATCAACACATATATCCCTCTCATGGACAGGGTAACAGTATGGTCATGTCTGGGAAGCTAAAATGCACCCTGGTGGAGGAGCTGAAATGCACAGCAGTATTAAATCTATAAGAAAAAGTCAACTAGTGTGGACAAGAAAAACCAGGATGTATCGTTCGTTATTCTAGATAGTGGCTAAATACCAACTTATGTCACAATATAAATATAATATATGTAATAGTTCAAATACGAGAAGTAGAACTTTACCAGACAAAAGCCAGGACAGCTTATTGCAGAATACATGCAATCTCGTTTTGAGCGTGCAAGCCCTTGGCCAGGATCCAATAAGTGGGATTTTATTGCTCTGATGAAAATCTGGGTTCAAAGATGAAAACATTTCTTTCAATTATAGATAGCTATAATGAAATTATGGATTTTATATTTCCTCCCAATTTATCTTTTTTTTATGATGAATTTCAAGTTTACATAAATATCCCTTAAAGCCCGGGATGAACTGGGAAACACTGTTGTCATATTATTTGTCTTTCCAATCTTTCAGTATGTCATATTGTCTTATCAGCGTCGGAAAACGGATAAAGAGTGTTTCATAAAATGCTTCTGAATTTGGTAGGAAATAATTTGCTTTCTGGGAAGCAAATTTTGCGTCTGCAATAAAAGCCAATTAAAAATCACGAATATTTCCGCGACATTGTTTCTTACGTTTGGCCAAGGCTTTAAGTTTAGCGAAATATTTCATTTGTTCCTTGATCGTGTGAATTGTATGTATATATAATTTTTATTTCTTTGTCCTGTTTGATACAGGTGGGGTTTTTTACCTCACACAAATTTGTATTGAATTGGATGTTAATATAAAGTAGAATAAAACGTTAAAACGGTATTTTAAAACAATAGCCAATGAATTGAAGTGATTTAGCATATGAGCAAGCAAAATATACAATGTGTTTTTAACAATATTTAATGCGGGTGTATTTATATTACAAGGTTTATCAGTATTCCGTGATTTTATTTTGTTGTTTTTGCGGAGGAAATCGGGGAAACCCCCAGTGAGAATCTATTTTTATAGTCTGCGCGTGCGCAGTGCGAGTTTGGCTGAGTTGCGCATGCGTATTTGCTACCAAAATAATGGCGGTTCGAGTATTTCGAAGCGCGAAAATATCAAACTTTGGAGGGATTTTTCTCCCAATTGTGCACCTGTTTCGCTTGGGGAGCAACGGATTCTGATAAAGTAAGTTTTTATCTATTTATTCATGTGAAAATTACGTAGTTACACGAGGGGTGCAACGGAATTGCATCTTTTGGATGCTCATCCTACGGCCTACTATAGCTTGTATCTCAATTTGAGAGAGGATGTGGAGGGTTTAAATTAACAGTAGGTTTGTTATAAAATTATCACTTTCATGAGTTTCATCGAATATTCCACTACTATTTTAATCGAATATTCCACTACTATAATATGGCCTTAATTGATGTATTTGTAACAGATCCATAGCTCACATAATTTAATACTTTAATATATTTATAAAGTTATATAAAGAATATTATGGTATACTCAAAAATAGAGTCTTATATCCACACAAAAATTCAATGATGGCTATTTCCAAACGGCAAACACAGGTCCAGAACAAGCCAAAATCCCAACACTGGCGATCACTGGCGCAATTGAATTGAACTAAATATTTTGTTACATCATATCGGTAATTTATATATAAACAAACAAAAAGTATTTGCCATAATACAAGATACAAAAGTGTACAGATCGTACGTATAAATCCTCAATCAGATTAAATGTAACAATTAACTTGTATTTGAAATCTTGCAAATAAATGCAATTTCGACTTTGTTTACGTCGTATTCGTGAATTTCACGTGTAATTCCCGCACTTGAACACCAATTTCCGGTATCGGTGTTATTGATCTCACGCCAGCCAATGAAATTGATAATTTCATTCCGTTTCTCCAGAGTCATGCCCAGCACCTAACCTGCGAACGGGCATACTCTGGGTACGAGATTGGACAAACCGCTGCAAACTTTGTGTTTTAAAAACGGGTAGGATAAAACGCGGATACGGATGGACGGATGAATGACGGACGGATCGGACGGATGACATATATATGTCATTATATAGTCTGCGCGCAGCCGTGCAGGGTAGTTAGTGGCTTACTTCTTCGCAGGTTGTTATACTTTAAAATAATTTTGTATATACCGAGAAATCAATATTCCGAGTATATAAATATATAAACTGGGATGTTACACTGATAGCTTGTTTACATTTCCTGGAGCATCAAATCTTATGTTTAACCACGGTGGTTTAACCCATTAGCTGGCAATGCGCCCTTCCCTTGTCCAGCGCCAGAAGATTTTACTCGTCAGTGGTATAGGGTACTGCCAGTAAACGGGTTAACAAACCTATCTGCCAATGTCTCTTGTTAATCCATCAGCACAGTAATGACCCCTACTTTAGTATTTACCCTGTCCAACGCCAGACGATTTTTAATACTTAGTCAGTGGTAGGTACTGTCAATAAATGGGTTAACCTGCAAGGATAACGATAATAGGATGTTTCTGAAGGACTCCTTCAACACCCTGTAGTTTGTCTTTTGCTGTCGAAGGCAGCATTACTGCCCTGTGGGTAACCTAGTATATATATATATAAGATGAAAATGTTCTAGAGTCTGTATTATATAATTTCCATACCCAGCGCAAGCAGAAAGATGTTGTCTGCCGCGGCTGGATCTCGAACCCGCGACCTTCGACCATTCGAAGGTCGCGGGTTCGAGACCCAGCCGCGGCAGACAACATCTTTCTGCTTGCGCTGGGTATGGAAATTATATAATACACACTCTAGAACATTTTCATCTTAACATATTACAGAGTGTACAATTACACAACTAATATATATATATAAGATTTGGTTTCGTTGGTTATAAAAACTTTTGGTAAAGTGCTCAATGGAAAACCAGAGCATATTTAAATTAAGGTACAACAATCAACAAAATCCACTAGGCATCTTTATTACTAAATAGTTTCGTACCACAAAATGTGGCACTCTTCAGATAAATTGACCTAATGACTATAGACTATGACTATGGTTTGTAAATAGGATTAAGTTTTTTAAAGTCTCATCCACTTGTATACATATATAACCTTGTAAGTTTTAGTCTATAGTCATTAGGTCAATTTATCTGAAGAGTGCCACATTTTGTGGTACGAAACTATTTAGTAATAAAGAGGCCTAGTGGATTTTGTTGATTGTTGTACCTTAATTTATATATATATATATATATATATATATATATATATATATATATATATATATATATATATATATATATATATATATATATATATATATATATATATATATATATATAAATATATATATATATATAAATACGTATTTTTAAGTGTTTTTTTCACTTACGATTAATATACGATTTTACTCAGTAGAAATATATTACCAAGGGACCGATTACATCCGGAGAAGACACGCGAGATCAATATACTCTATAAGAAGTAAAAAAGCATGTAAAATTAGCGATAGTATAAGTATTCCTTCCACTCGTGAGCTCACAGGCACTATAGCAAGGGACCGATTACATTCCGAAGAAAGACTCGCGAGCTCATAGTAAAACCTGTGTCTGGGCCTTGTGACCCCAGATATATATATATATATTATATATATAGTACAATCTGCAGACATGCATGTTTCGGCGTCCTACGCCTCGTCATGAGTGCAGCTTGGTACACGTCTAGGTACGTGAGACATTCGTATTTATATCGCATGAACTTGCTCTCACCAAGGCATGCGGTACAACACGGCGACATCAACGCATCCAGACATGCGCAGAGTGTAATGGGGCCAGAGTGCTCAAACGACCACAAGGGAAGTGAGCATTGCATTATCGCTAATAGACTCCCATTAACAACTCCGCAGAGTGCTCAACAAGTAATATATTTTATTATTTAAGTAAAATAATATATTTTATTATATTTAAAGTTTAAATAATAATAACATAATAAAATAATATATTTAAAGTTTAAATAATATATTTTATTATTTACACCAGCTAATAACATGCTCAAAGTTTACAATATTAGAGTGAAATACATTTAATATACTTACTAATTATAGATGTTTTTCACATTAAGTTAGACACCTTCGATATTGAACTATTTATTTTATAGCTACTTATTTATTTCATCCTAAAACGTGAACATTTACTTTTAAATAATGGCAAAGAATATTTAAAGTCTTTAATTAAAGATATATAGGGCTAGAGACCTACAAATCTTCGCTGGCTTTTTATTTTTACAAACCTATTAGTATGTTTATCAATTTAATAGGGTATAAAATAGCAGGCGGCTGTCACCGGCATATTTTCTGCGTAATCATTTGATGTTCAATTTATCAGAGCCTGAAAAAAAATCGCCGGTACAAAAAAGGTAAGGTACACGCACCAAAGAGCCTACAAATATATATCTCAATTCAAATTATTTTAAAGGCACAGTTCAGCCTTTTGATTGAAGGTTTTTAAGGCGCATTACAACCCTTTTAAAACTAACTAGGAAAATCATCAGTGATTTCAATGTTTTTAACATTTTTTAACATTTTTAATGTTAAAAACATCGAGTTTATTGATCTTGAATTATGCTTAATTGATTTTCCTAGTTAGTTTTTTCAATGGACAACTTGCATGTTAGACAAAATTTTAATCTATAAAGTAAAGAGAAGGGAATCAAACACAACAGTTAAAAAGAACATAATGAAATTAGTTTTGCAAAATTGCAAAATTTGGTTGCGAAATGTTGTAAAATACAGAAAATATAATAGCCTTGCGAAGTTTGCATATTTTCAGTATGTTTGTATTACGTGCGGAAATTGTTACCACTTTCGGCTCAAAAATGGTAACAATTTCCGCACGTAATACAAACATATACTGAAATGAAATATGCAAACATCGCAAGGCTCAAAAATGGTAACAATTTCCGCACGTAATACAAAACATACTGAAAATATGCAAACTTCGCAAGGCTATATTTTCTGTATTTTACAACATTTCGTAACCAAATTTTGCAATTTTACTGATTTTAATAAGTTCTTTACGGGAATTTACTTTTCTTTGCCTAAATAAAAAATTAGTCTAACATGCAAGTTGTCTATTAAAAGGGTTGTAATGCACCTTAAAAACCATCATTCAAAAGGCTGAACTGCATGCGTCTTTAATTAAACCTTGCCTTATCATGTCCAATAGTGTTATGGTCACTGACTATATGGTCTTAGATTACATTTAAATTTACAAAAGACGTTGCCGTTGCCACGGTAGTTTTGTAGGTACCAGTAAGATCGTTAAATTACATCAAACAACCACGATTTCCTATTAAAAGATTATTGGTTAGTAGACAAAAACCGAACTTACTTAAGGGTGTGAATGTTGTTTAATCACTAGAGTCTACAGACGTAAGAATGCACAAGTATAATTGACCTTTTACCTTTTGACTAAAATTTAGATCTCAACAAGTCTAGACAAAAATTTCATCACAGCTTGAAAGAGCATCACAAAATTAATAATAGTCCAAAGTTTCGTTGCGAAATGTTGTAAAATGCGGATAATATAGCCTTGCGAAGTTTGCAATTTTCAGTCATATTGTATTACGCGCGGGAAATACATACCTCCTTCGGCGGAAAAAGGGTATGTATTTCCCGCGCGTAATACAATATGACTGAAAATTGCAAACTTCGCCAGGCTATATTATCCGCATTTTACAGTATTTCGCAACGAAACGTCGGAATATTACTACTTTTGCGATGCTCTTTCAAGCTGCTGTGATGAAATTTTTGTCTAGACTTGTTGAGATCTAAATTTTAGTCAAAAGGTGAAAGGTCCATTGTTACAGGTCTGCAAACAAGTTCTCATAAATCTGTTCACAAGCTGTCGACAAGTTGTGTGTTCGCACTGCTTGTTCCCAGTTGTTGTAACAAGTTTTGAACAAGCTAGCTGTTAACAACTTGTAGCAAGCTTGATGGCATTATCAGACCTGTTATAAGGTTGTTCTATCACAGGTCTGATACAGTCATGATATAACAAGAATGTTACAAGGTTGACGACACAAGCTGGTTGTAACAATATTGTTATATCATGACTGTATCGGACTTGTTGGAAAACAACCTTGCAACAAGTCTGATAATATCAACAAGGTTGTTACAACTATTAACAAATGGTTCAAGACTTGTTGACAACTTGGGACAAGCAGTGCGAACATAGCTTGTTGATTTGTGGGCAGGCAGCCTGGAACGGAACGTCCATTGCCCCCCTCCCCTGACACAAGTTCGAAATATGTTTTTTATTTCTTTGCAACAATTATACATTTAGCTCATTTCAAACTTACATTTTGTACAACTTGGCTCATCGACCGCTCGAACTTCACGTCGCAGTCCAGTTCTGAACTCCGGCCAGCTCTTTACATCGCCATTCATACGGCGTTGACAATCCGTCGAAAACCAGGCAATCTCTTGTTTTGTAAGAACCCGACCCCACACATTCACTTCAGCCAGCTCCCCCTGGAAAGCGTCTTTGATTTCAAACCCACCTCCGACACTATCTTGGTCTTGACCCAGCACCCACCGGCCCCCTCCAGAGATGTTTTTTCCAGTAGCCACACCAGATGCTTGGTCTGTCATTACGTTGTCTTTATACACTGTGAGGTTGCCGTCCACATTTGACCACGTAAGACAGATTGAATGCCAGAAACCATCGCTGAGTAAGCTGTTGTACGTTCTGAAATAAAATAAAACAAAAGTAATTTTACACCCATTTTCAAAATTACGCGACCTCCCTGAAAAATACTCTTACTTCAAATGTCAGTTTTATGTCACAAAAACTGCTAAAAATAGCAAACGTAAACAAACTGTCAAAAGACATTTTAAACCGTATTTAATACCAAACCTGAACAAAAATGAGTTAGGTAACTTAGATATACAAACTAAAGCACAATACAAACCATCACTACAGAAATATGTGTCGTGAATAACTTTTAAAGTTTGAAAAATAACAATTTATCCTGGAATTTAGCTGTCAGTATAAAACACGCGCGCTAGACTATAACGGTGATGTTATGATTTTGTTTGTGCTTAAATTTTGCAATAATTCTCACTAAAATATCTTGAAAGTCATTGTAAGCCTGTTTATATAAAGCATACAAAGCATATACATCGACAAGGAACCGCAAAACTCAAAGTTTAAACTTCGTGACCGAATGACATAAAACTGACATGTCAACTCCAGTATTTTCGTCCTTGGTCGCGTAATTTTGAAAACGGGTGTAAACACAAAACATGTTTATTCAAATACATGTGTTAGTTTTATACTAGTTTTACACATTTTCCAGGGGTCCAGTAGGGGACATCTCTTGACGTTAGTCTTATGTTACCTGAACTCAAATAACTTCATTTGTGAGTGGACAACTCTATCAGTTCCAAACTATCTTCTATAGAGGACCAGTAAGCTACTGGACGTTATACCTCATGCAGTTGGTTAGAGCGCTGCACCGGAATCACTGCAGAGCAGCACATAGTTGCATTCTTTGCAGTTGCAGCATTCCAATTAGTTGGACTTCAATTATTTGGATTCTTGCACTTCACTTGGTGGAATTAATATTAGAATGTTAGGGTTTGTAATCCAAGTGAGAATATATACATTTTAAGACCTAACCAGGAACGACTGCGAAAAATGCAGCACAAGGTCCTCTGGTAGGAATTGAACCTACGGCCCTGCAATTCCGGTGCAGCGCTCTAACCAACTGAGCTACAGAGGCCAGCTGTTGAGCTGTAACCGTAAGTTCATGTACATATAGGTAATCGGGTGTGCGGGTTGTGATAAGGTGGACTTCAATTATTTGGATTCTTGCACTTCACTTGGTGGAATTAATATTAGAATGTTAGGGTTTGTAATCCAAGTGAGAATGTATACATTTTAAGACCTAACCAGGAACGACTGTGAAAAATGCAGCACAAAGTCCTCTGGTAGGAATTGAACCTACGGAGCATTGTGCATGTGAACGAGTAGATGAGTAATGAATGTTCTGAGTATGTGTCCCTCATCTTAACTTTTATAACTCATCCACTCGTTCGCATCCGTCAGAAGAAGACAATCGCACCTAAAATCGCAGCAAAAATTGCAAGTGTAAACGGGCCTTTAGGGCAGGAGAACGTTCTGAACAGACCGTTTGAGATTAATTTCGTATTATGCTAGTTCACACACAATCTTACCGTGTCCAAACATTTGTGATAGAAAACATAACTACACTTGTATAACACCAGATAGCAATCTCATTGGTCGAGGTAGGGACAGCATAAGACAATATAGTGCCGTCTGCATTCTTGACAAACTTCGCCCAGGCACAGATCGAGAAAGCGCTAAACTCTGGCAAATCAGGGTCATCTACTTCCACATAGTCCTCGATACTATGACGTGGAAACAACACGGAGAACGACGGTTCTGAAACATATACGCAATTTGTCATACATCTATATATACTTGAAGGTCCATGCAATGCAGGTATTATTCTACAAATAAGCTGCAGTGGTTTGTCAGTATAACTTTAAAAAAATATCACACATATTAATACGAAAATTTGTGCATGGGGTTAATGGACATTGCCCAACGACGCCATTAGCAAACGTTTGTCCTTCTTTGCCGGGCAGAGTTTCAGGTAGTTCAGACACAAACCACGGTAGTTCATTGCACAATACTATACCTCCAATAAACGCCACATTTGAGATATCTTTTTCTGGTAGTTCACAAACCACGGCAGCTTATTGTATAGGATACTATTTATACTGGACAACCATGTTTGAGATACTTCTCCAGGTATAGTTCAGACATAAACCACGGGAGGTTATTGTGGAATACTACCTATACACTGGACAACCATGTTTGAGATATCTTCTCCAGGTGTTCAGACATAAACCACGGGAGGTTATTGTGGAATACTACCTATACACTGGACAACCATGTTTGAGATATCTTCTCCAGGTAGTTCAGACAATACACTGGAAAACCATGTCCGAGATATCTTCTCCAGGTAGTTCAGACATAAACCACGGGAGGTTATTGTGGAATACCTACCTATACACTGGAGAACCATGTTTGAGATATCTTTTTCAGGTAGTTTATGGATGCAGGCACAAACCATGATAGATAAAATACTTAAGGGTCTTGTAGATGGAAATTATCGAGTGGAAATTTATATACATTTATTAGACCTAACCAGAAACAGCAGCGAAAAATGCAACTATATAGGTCCCTGGCAGGAATCGTACCTGCTGCCCAGAATCTCGATATTGTAGAATACTACCTTCACTGGGTAGCATTCACTCATCACTCGCGCATGGTAATGTATGGTATGATAAGGTTTGTTAAAGTCCTACCTGAGCAACGTTCACATTCTGTCAATTGAGGCACCTACAGAAAAGGATTATTATTTCTAACAACAAATGGCAAAACAGTGTTAGGGAGCAGTCATTATTAATGCGGGGGGGGGGGGGAAGATATTTCAAAACTCATGGTAAATTTTTCATGGCCCCTCATTCCTTCAAAATATTTTTTCATGCCCCCCCCTTTAAATATAATAAATTTTCATAGCCCCCCCCCCCCCCCCCCCCCTGTGATTGAACTTGCATTCATTGTCTGCGGGTGTTGCGAGCTTAGTGTTGATCTGCTTGAATTAACTAGGCAATGAGAACCCATAGTTTCTTCACGTGACTTTGGTCTTGATGTACAAAAGTTACGCACTACCATTGCTATAGTTGACGTTTCAAGCCGGCGGAAGTTTTGCCTTCAAATTAATTTAACTCGAAAACAAGTAGTTTTCCCAACGTGTGCGGTGAAAATGCATAGCTGAGCTAACCGTCACTGCAGTGCAGCAGGCTCTCTTACCATTTCATAATATTCAAATTTCCTATCCACCGATACGAGGTGATCTTTTTTAGTACAGTAGTTCAACTGACAAGCATACAATCTTTGCGACGACTCCTTCTCTCCGTAGTTGAATGACTGGCAACTAAGGTTCAGACACCATTGACCACATTCGATCAAATGTAAGACAATCTTCTCAGATATTAAACAGTCGCTGAGGCGTTCACCTGTGAATATACAGAGAACAACTATTTAAAAAAGCTCCACAATATTATTACACTGAAATCAATAGGATCGCTATAACCATGCTCCATAGTCTTCTACAATAAGCTGCCGTGTTTTGTGTCCGAACTACCTGAAATTAAAATAATATCGCAAACGTGGTCGTGCAGTGTATATAGTATTCTACACATTAGTATTTTTGCACAAGTGAACATAACAAATCCTACAATTGATCGGTCAAATTTGACGTATTAAGCTGTTGTATTCACCTACAGGTGAATATAACAAAACCGAAATTTTCAAAATGGCGGACGTTATACTGGACGTTATACTGATAAAGAAATAAGCGAAATTAAAATAAATCGAGTCCCAAAAATACTAAAACAATTATTCGCCTCAGACTCGGTGATTATCGGGGAATATTCACCTCGACTTCGTCTCGGCGAATATTCCCCGATAATCACCTCGCCTTCGGCGAATAATTGTTAAATATTCAATAAGCTGTCGTGGTTTGTGTCTGAACTATATCTGAAAAAGATACCTGTAGGTAGTATTCTACAATAAACTGTTGTGGTTTGTGTCTGAACTACCTGTTAAAGATATCTCAAACGTGGAGGTCCAGTATGTAGGTAGTATTCTACAATAAGCTGTCGTGATTTGTGTCTGGACTACCTGATATGAAAGATATCTCGCAAACCACGGTAGCTTGTCAGAATAGAATACTACCTACACCACCGGACCTCCACATTTGAATAAAAATATACACATTGCCATAATGGACTTCCAAATTTGAGATATATTATAATTAAATTTTAAAGATCCGTTTTTATTATACCTTTCACAGATTTTTTAAAAAATCCACTCGTAATCGACAACTGCTTTCCGGTTCCTAGTACAGTTAGCGCCAAAAGCATCAAAGCGATGCTTGTTTTACTTGAAATATCAGGAGATAGCATTATTTTCTAGACAATCGCAAATCTATTTTCTCATGTCTAAAAAGGCAAAATTATATTAATACCAGAGCCGCAGTTTCCAATTATGCGTTAATTAGGGTTAGGCAATTTTAATTTAAAAGAAGATTGAAATTTTAATAAAAACGGCAAAGTCAAGTTGTAATAAAGTTCTAATATCATCCGTCATGGAGGCTCTTTTGTCTGAATTCAAGTCAACAGTACTGAGTACAGACTACAGTACAACTGAATTCAACAGTGCAGTTTTACTGTAGAAATTATTATATTTCTTACCTCAGAATTTTGATTTGAAATCTTCCACTCTCAGACAGCGCATTAAAGTCTTGTATTGACGCAATGTATTGTGCGAATTAAATTTCACCTGGCGTTATACAGTATAGTCAACAGACGGATTGTCATGCAGACGCATATCTATCAAATATATTTACACAACATAGCAAAAGTAAATCTTTAATATCGACAAATCGATCCTGTATTTGCTCTGGCAAACGAAAGGCCTATTCTCTTCACTGTAATGCACACTTAAAAATAATTTCCTGTGTCACGATCGGCCATACAGTGATCGGAAGTTTCAATGTAGTTTCATTGTCCCGAAAATCCCACTATACTCCATGCATGTTTTGGGTTTTATTACCTAGAATTATGCAAATTTAACGTATATTGAATGTTAACATATAATTATTTTCGGCTCGCCTTGCGCATCCAAATGACGCTTGGAAGATTTGAAATATTTATATATATATATATATATATAAGTTTCGACTATTTCAAAACCATCCTGAGAGGAATGAGTTTCATATCATTCTGACATTGCGCGAAACGACGAATTTTTCGTTGTTCTTTGCAGTGTCAGAATAAGTTTCAGCTGTTAAATGGCAATTAATGATTAATCTATTTCTTACATGTATATTATTATTATTATTATGAATAATTATTATTGTGCAAGGTGTATAGCCGGAAAGGTATTCGAACTTTGACAGGTTATTGTGCATTAAAATTATTACATATATAGTTTTCGTATTTATAAAGATCAGGCGTTTAGCTGTCAAATGACACCTGTATTGAATCATTGCGATAAAAATGACCAAATATGATCTGGCTTAAAGTGGTCGGTTGAAATTGCATTTTTGAACATTTTCCCAAGTGCTCGCCGCTTATTTTGGGAAACGTATGGCATTGCAAGTTCAGTGTTAAACGCCGAGTCGGTTTCCTCAAAAATTTCGATCTTTTAAAACTTAGAATTTACCTGTGATCACAGAAACTTTGATAGTGTAATAGTAAGCAAAAAATCTTACATTTTGTCAGATATGTTGATCGAATTCCTTCAAAAATCCTTAAACTATACAAAATGCCTGTAATTAAGGATAAATTATTCAACGTGAGAATCTGTTAAAAATTCACACTCCATATATGAATTAAGCATGCGGTATTTGCATGAAGATCGCCAAACTAGAGACAATTAATCCGACGACAAAAAATACCAGAAAACTTCGATCCAATATGCGCGACGCCAGCTGCCATTCTTTTTTCTTCTCCGTGTTAATCTCCTGGTCAGTGAGCATGCTCGTCATGTTGCTCACGTGTTCAACCAGGGTCTTTTGACGGTGTTCAAGTTTATCCACGAGTGTACTGCAATGTCACATCATTGAAATAATTATTAGGAAATATAAGGGACAGGTCATTACTTTGAAAAATTAATGAAAAATTAAACAATGGACGATTCCCCTCATTACGTTTTCGTAGCGCTTTGCATTGTGGTTATAGTGGTATCACTGATATTCAAGATGGCTTATTTTTGTCCTGACTCGTGCAAGAACTTTTAAAAAAAGCTAGGGTCAGGTGCACGATATCCAACAGCAAAATATTCGTGAAAACATTCAATATTTTTATTCGAGGCCGCTATCTTTATCAGTGATACCACTATAACCACAATGCAAAGCGCTACGAAAACGTAATAAGGGAATCGTCTATTCAAGGGTTGGGTAATAAAACTGTATTGTTGTTTCTCAAATATTCTCATTCAAATATAGAAGACAGAAAGCAATGTTAACAGTCATATGTCAATGTAATATGTGAATCATTCAGAGACACTATCTTGATTATTTTCCTATTTCTCAGAAGGCAAATGGTGTCTCCAAAGAAAGTACATGTAGTAATATTTCACCTGCAAATACAATCTTTATTTCCTTGAACTACCAGCTCCATATTCCCAGCATTCTCTGAATGCCCAGAAACAGCACTTGGTTTCTTGTGTGAACAACTGCTTGTTGACTTGTGTGACGACCATGGTTCACCTGACCCCTTACCACCCGCCATTTCACCTTCTTCTACTAAAACACAAATAGTAATAAGGCGGACACCTTGGGAGGTTCGAAATGTTCCTAATTATTTTACCAGTCCATGATGATAGCTAGGCTGTGCATGTACCATCACATTTTAGAACTGCAAGAGCTATCCATCATGAAGTGATTTATACCTGTTGTAAAGACATCGTCATTCTCTGCTCCTCCTGCAGTATCAAGATCATATGTTGAATCCCACTCAGGTGCCAACAAATATACGGACTCCATCAATTGACCATCGCGAGCTTTATTGCGAGAACCTATATATTAATATATAGAAATGTCAGTATATGTACTGTATATACCAAGCGAAGCTTGCCACACTCATCAGGTGAATTCATACGAAACAAATTTGTAGTAAAATATATGGTTCTTAGAGACGTATGGCGGGGGGTGGCACCAAAGAGAAAAGGGTTGGGTAAATACAATTTTGAGTGAGTAAAAGGTTGGGTAAATGAAAAACAAAACAACTCAAGAGTTGGGTAATAAAAATTTATTGTCATTTCCAAAGCATAACTCACTCAAATATTGAAGACTAAAAAACAATGTCAATATAGTCATATATGTCAATACAATATGTAGAAGTCAATACATTGTCTTGATCATTTTCTGAGACAAATGGTGTCTCCAAGGAAAGTACATGTGCAGATAACATGAAACTTTACACTACAGAAAATTGCATCAAATTCATTTCACAGAAGTGGACATGTGTGACAACTGAGTTGATATCCTTTTTTAACGTTGGGTAAAAAGTTGAGGTTGGGTAAAAACAAAGACTTTATAACGGTTGGATCAGCCAAATTTTCACCAAGAAAACATTTCTCTTCGACAAAATCGAATTAATGACATTTACATATAATAAATATAGTACCTGGCGTTTTACGAGTTTTGAAAAGTTCTAAAAACTTAGCCGCTTTTTCCTCGTTATCTTCCCTGACTTTCTTCACATCTGACGAGGTGAACGTCAACTTTGCGAGCCAGTCAAGGACAACTGTCTGAATCCACGATGGCATTTTGTCAAAACCTGAGTGTCGACAGTACAGCCTTAGGACGAAACACGAAGCGACCAGCGCAAGACCAACCTATAATGAAAACTTTATAAACTAAAATAAATATTTTTACTTTTAGTGGGTAATTTACAAATGGCTACACGAATCACCGATTGGTAATACCCGTACTAATTTAGATATTCATTTTAAAGGAATAAATAAAATTGCCCCTCTTTCGCATCCCGAGAAAGGAACTCCCTTCTCGGTTTTGGAAGAGCTATATCAGTATTACTGTTTCTTTCAAATTAGGGGCAGTGTAATCATTTAAAAATTTGTACAGAAGATAGCTGAAGGTAGGTGCTGTTTGTGGTCGAAGGGTGCAATGTCTTGCTGGCATGATGTATTGCCATGGCAATAGATTAGCAATAGAGCAGCAACAATTTTATCAGCAACCAGTGAAATAACAGCAGAGGAGTTCGCCATGACAATTTGCCAAGGCATCCCTCCGGCACCTGTCACACTGACGAGTCAGTGGAAAAAATACAATTTATAATGGTCATACATAAGCCCTTGACGG